TCTGTCATTATTGTGATTCAGGGTCTCAACACATTGTGAGCATAGCAGAGATCCTGAGAGCTGCCTGCTCATGTCTAATTTTACTGCCGCCTGGAGTGGCTCTCTCTCTGTGAGTGTGTGTGTGTGTGGGGGGGATCTCTCTCTCTCTCTCTCCCTCTCTCTCTCTCTCTCTCTCTCCCTCTCTCCCTCCCCCCCCCATCTCTGGAGTCGAGGGGGTTGACCAATTGCCAGCAGCTGTTGCTCATTTCACAATGGTCCCGCCCATACAGTGCTGAGGAGGGCAGTGCAGTCACTCCACTCTGGATGAGCAGCAGCGGCAGCAGCAGGCTTCTCCTAAACTTCACAGGAATATCTGCAGCATGTCTCCATCGTGAGGGACAGAGTGAGGGGACACAGCACCGAGGAGTCACTTCTGGTGAGAGGACACTCATCTGTTTTCATGTTTTCATGTGATATTCGAAGAGGGTTTTATTCTTGTGACTCGAGATCAGAGACAGAGGCACGAGAAAGTAGTCTTCTGACTGAGGGAGGAGATTGAGTCAGGGTTTGTCACAGCCTCTCTCGACACACTCACATTTAGCTGTGGGTCTTGTTCCAGGATATTTAATCACCAGTGTCATGTCATCTGCGTTTATCACTGGATCACTGCAACAACACATTTGTTCCACTCCCTCACTCAGCCTCAGAGCACAGACTCTCACAGAGAACCAGGAAACTGATGAATCCCCCTCACTGATCGTTTTGTAATTCTCACAGTTCCATCAATGATTCCTCCTGAGGGTCGACGGACGCTGCAGCTCCAGACCTGAGTTAAGAGAGGTTCAGAGAGCAGATCTCAGCTGCCGGCCTCAGGCTCTGTTTATTACACTGCTTACAAAGAGGTGAGAAGTGGAGAGGGGGGGTGCTCAGAGTGTATGTTAATGTTCTCTGGGTGCTCCAGAGTTCTTATAGGTTTCCTGTAAGTTAACCTGTGTGACTTCCTGGATTTGTTGTCAACCTCGTGCTGCAGCTGACACAGTTTCCAGTGTGACTCCTTCAAACTCAGTTGTGTCTAGTTTGTGTTTTTTTCTTTTGTGTCATGAAAGACCAGTGAGAGCAGAAAGGAGAGAAATAAGAAAAGGATGTGAACACGGTGACCCAGCACTTTGCTTTCAGTGGAAACGCTTCATTAAAAAGGGATTATTTGAAACTGTGTTGACGCTGAGAGATAAAGTTTCCCCTTCCATGCAGCCCCCCCGAGTCTCTGCCCTTGTTCCAACTCTTTCTTTCCTTTTCGCTCCCACTGTAGCTGTGTTGAGAGAAGCCCGGAGTGGAGCCCAGATCCTGTTGTTGGACTGATTAAATCCCCCACAGTCGCCTGCCCTCCTCCGGTCGACCAGAGCAAACTGTCCTGAGCGAGACAGCATCCTCGCCTGCCTCGTCTGCCTCCGTCCTTTGCCTCCTCATGTTCCTTCAGGTGGAGCGGAGGGCAGAGCACGCAGCCTGTAAGCCAGGGTCACACGCGTGACGGGGATGGCGTTCTGGAAGAGGCTGATTCTTGGCGTGTTGACCGTCTGCCTGCTGGGTATCTACATCCTGTGTGTGAAACTGGAGGGGCCCCTGTCCTGGTCCATAGAGCCTCTGAGACATTTCCATGGCTTCATCCAGGGGCCGAGCAGGTGGGTGACAAGTTTGGACAACTTGAAATATTTTCTGATAAAGATGAACCTGAACATCATCAGCATTATTTTCATTAAACAACAAAAAACAACTGAAATGACAAACTAAACCTGACGAGTAAACTGACCCGTGTTCGCTCTATTAGCTTAAAAAACCCTGAGTGTTTATTATGTTGAACCAAAAGAGTAAATTTAGTTTTTAAGACCTTGGATGACAAACTCTGGCTGATAACAGACACCATGACTGTTTGCTTTTCCATGAACTTCTGTCCTATCTGGCACCAAGTGGCAGTTTTCTGAGGAGTCACACATGTGAGCAGCTTTTACAACATGACAGGAACACGACATCACTCTAAGTCTTAATGTGGAGATTCCATGTTGAATTCTTTTTCCCAGATTTGACAAAGACGACTCACCGAGCAGCTCAATGTTTCTGGTTTGTCAGTTTGTCACTGGTCACTAACCTCATCTGTCTATCGTCAGCTACAGTGTAAAAACCGGCTGCACTTCCTGCTTTGTTAATCTGACGTAGACGAGAAGGTCGAAGGGATAAAACTCTCAGCATGTGAGTTTTATGAAAAGTCACATGTTCCCCCTGTAGTTGTGTGATTGTGGTTTCATCAGAGGAGCCACAGAGTGCTGCTCTCCGGAGGTGCTCTCTTCCACATTTGTGTGAAATGTAAGCTTTGTCATTAACAGGCTGCGCTCCAGCTTTAAAAGCCAGCAGGCCCAGATAAGATGCGTTGAGTCAGGGGAGTGGCTGTGTCAGTCAGTAAATGGACAGTTTGTGTGCAGGGAGCTCAAAGGTTTGAAAAGCTCTTCTTTAATGATTCTTATCTCGTGCAGTAAACATTGCATTTAGAGATGTAAAGTATATTTAAATCTCATTTTCACATTGAAAGGGTTTTTATTTACCTCATTAACGTACAGTTTTTTAAAGAACTGTGTGAGCACAGAACTTTAAACTGAAATGTCTTGTGTTCAATGTAAACTAATATAAATTCTAATCTATCCGACAAATCCAAAAGGAAAGTTGTGATGTGGTGCAGAGAACATGTGGTTGTTTGATTATGATTATTGAATCCATCACAAACTTCCAGGTGATTAATAATCACTGACTTGTTTTAATTTTCTCCCCTTTACTAGTATTAGTCACACTTTGTGTCTCATTACCAGAGTCTGAGGATTTACTCTGAGCAGAGAGCGACATCCACTACACCACACGCTGCAGCTTCCTGTTTGTCTGATAATAAACTGTGTGTCAGGCGTCATGATGTGAGCCTCTGCACAAAGAGACAGTTTGTTGTGTGAAAGGCAACGAGCTCAGATACAAACAGAGAAACCACAAACACATAAAGAGACGCAAAGAGACGCAAAGAGACAGAAAGAGACACAAAGAGACGCAAAGAGACACAAAGAGACAGAAAGAGACGCAAAGAGACA